AGGGGAAAAATGAGGACCTAATGCCGGGGGTTTAAGTGGAGAGGAAATGTTTTGAGAATGATGTACAAATGCGCTTGACACAATTGATGTGTGTATGGATTGTGATAAGAGTTGTATGAGCCCCTAATAAAATGATTAAAAAAAAAAAAGATTGCAACTTGAGGCTTGAGTTTTTACTTGAGTTCTTTCCGTTTTAGCTGAGCCTGTATTTCTCTTTGGGCTTTCTACTTCTAGGTTTTGCACATTCCCTTATAAATATTGGTCTTTGTCTTCTCAAACTGCCCTTTGAAATTTTCTGTTCAGCTTGTTGACTTAGCCTTTTCTTCTATTTGATAAAACTGCTATAGAATTAAGAACAAGCTTCAGAGTCTCTTCTGACAGCCACTAGCTAGTGTAGTGTCTGTGAATATATATATTTTTAATTTTAGAGTTCCAAGAGAAAAATATTTCCTTCATCGAGTTAAAATTGCTAATATTTTGCAACATCTCCCTTATACTTCCATTTTAATGTGACTATCACACTCACAGTCAGCTTACTCCGACTCTTAAAGTAACCCTCTATCATAAAACCCTCACCACCTGTCCAATCTGTCTGTCTCTCTCTTTGATAGTTCCTAGTGCTGGATCTGCTCTTGTGCTGCCACTACATTTCCTCTTCTGAGTGTGTCATCCACTTAGCGGCCTGCAAGTTACATTTAGATATTGTAAAACCTAAATTTGGGGAGGAACAGTCTTCTCGTTGCCAATGAGTCCATTCCAACTCACAGGGTCCATATAGCACAAGATATAACTGTCCCTATGGGTTCACCGAACTGTGAATATTTACAGAAGCAGAAAATGTCATCTTTCTTCCGTGGAGTAGCTAGTGGTTTTGACCTGATGACCTTGTGATTATCAGTCCAAAACATAACCCGTTACAGTCACTAGGTCTGTCCTAGGCACCAGTTGTTAACTACACTCACAATCAAAAGTCTTGTTTTCACAAGAACCCTGTACCTTCTGCCAACTACAATGGAAAACTACTAAATAATACCAGAGGTTGACAAAGAAATAAAGCAGAGACAAATCCTCAGAAGCTCAGCTCCTCCATTAAAACAATTGATTTACTAAAATTCCTTTGACAAGTGTTAGAGCTGTGCACTTGCTGTCATTGCATGTTTTAGAGTTCATGCCATAGGACAGATGGCTGATAAATGTAGGAAATATAGTTTAGGGGTACACTGATGTTTTTAATGTAAGAAAATTGGCATTGTTGATTAAAATTCTAGGTTGTCAAATACTGTTATTACTCACCATAACATAATCAATTGAACCATATGGAACTGACATTTTATATATCAAAAATAAATATCAGATTTGCCACGTAAAGCAAA